TATTTTGGTTAGGTTTACAGTTACTTTATTTCACTTCATAACCATCTTATAAGCACAAATCTGTGTGCAAGCATATTAAATACCAAACAACTTGAAAATGAAGACATGTTTACTAACAAAAGTCTTGCTGCCATCCTTAGACAATTCAAAGTCAAATCCAATCCAAATTCCACAACCAAAATCATCAAATCCAATCCAAAATCAGAAATTACAACTGCATCTCCAATCCCACAACCAAAAACATAAAAAAACAAGACAGTTCAAAAACAGCATCCCCAAAACCTAACAACAGTACATATCCATGAGAACTAAGGTGAAAAGTTGCAAACACTCTCTTGGGTCCCCTGATCTCCTGGGCAATTCTTGGATGTTTGTTTCTTTTGTCCATGTGATGATCCAGGTCTTCTGTTAGGTATCAAAGTTAACTCTACTTTGCCCTGGCATCTGATTAAGCAGTTGTGGAACAAATTAAGTAAATTTCTGAAAAATGCATAACAAATTGGCACAGGGAAAAATATGGTAAACAATGAAGCATACCCTCATATAAATGTCTCATGTTTGCTCAGAGACCATCACATCATATCCTTTTTTTTGCCTAAAGAATGAAAACAACAATAAGTTAACTAAACTGACATTTAGCTTTATGAAAGAAAATAAAGTTAGCTTTTTTACAATTGCTCTGTCTCTTGCCCTAATAGCTTGCACAGATTGAGATGATTGTCCAACACTCTTGATCCTGGGACTCTTCCTTGTCTGTTGCATAGCAGCTGCGGCTGATCTTGTAGTTGGGGCTGTTCTGGCTGCTCTTGTGACTGTGGTTTCTCTTCTGGTTGTGGTTGCTCTTGTGGATGGGGCTTTTGTTGGGGTTTGTGTTTGTGGTGCTGTTGGGGCTTGTGTTTGTGGTACTTGTGGTGGTGATGTTGGGGCTGGTGTTGGGACTGGTGTTGGGTTTGTTGGTGGAGTAGGTGTTGGTGTTCGGTTTGTTGGCTGCCAATCTCTTGCAGAAGACTCCACATATTGCTCCCTTGTCCTTGGTCTTCCCCTCGTTTTCTGCAATTTAACAAGAAGGATATTAACATAATGCATCATAAATGTTCATAAATAAGCACTAACAATAAAACTCACTCTTGTCTGTGCAGGAGCAGCTTCATTGGGGCAACTCCTGATGTTATGCCCAATTTTCTTGTATTTTTGACAAGTCATTTGTAGTCCAAATCTCCTCAGCTTAGTGTCACTCTTGGCCTCTTCTTCAGGTGCTCTTCTCCTTCTCATTCTTGGTCTACCAGGCATCTTTTTAAATAGAGGTGGCTTGACAGTGGACCCAGATGCATCAGGCCACATTTTAGGTCCATTTAATGGTTCAAGAGAAAATGAGTATGCTCTCAAATTTCTTTCTACACAGAAGTATGGGCTGACAAAATCCACTACATCCCTCTTCATGTAATGAATTACAGAACAAGCATGGATACATGGTATACCCGATATATCCCAGCTTCTACAACTACATGTCATGCACTTCAAATCAACTATGAATTGATCATCTGATATGGCAACTTGAAATTTTTCACCCACTGCAGGTTTGGTCACACACAACTTATTTTCCTCAATTTTTTTCCTTATCCTAGGACATATTGTGTCTTTTACTCCATTGGTCGACATAAGTTTGTGATGCTGCCTTTCCATTACATAAGATCTAATACTCTCAAGCATGTCAACAATAGGGTTTTTCCTTGCCTTCACTATGGTACTGTTGAAAGTTTCACACACATTATTAAGTATCATATCACATTTTGGATTCTCAAGGATAAAAGCTTTACAGAACCTGACATTTTCCAGGTTCATGAATTCCACATAAGCCTCTTTATCCACTACCTTCATCCCTTCAACTGCCTCCTTATAGGCTGCCTTGTATGTGCTATGCTCTACCCTCCAGAAACAGCTTTTAAGTGCACTGCCTTTGTGAGATTTCTTCCAGTTCATGTACACATGCCGTGCACAGTTTCTATGTTCTGCATGTGGTGAGAGATCCCTTATAGCAGCAATGTGTCCCTACATAATGAGTTAAAGAAGAACATATAATAGAGACAAGCCAAACAAAGAAATATGTATATATATATATATATATATATATATATATATATATATATATATATATATATATATATATATATATATATATATATATATATATATATATATATATATATATATATATATATATATATATATATATATATATATATATATATATATATATATATATATATATATATATATATATATATATATATATATATATATATATATATATATATATATATATATATATATATATATATATATATATATATATATATATATATATATATATATATATATATATATATATATATATATATATATATATATATATATATATATATATATATATATATATATATATATATATATATAGAGAGAAGGGATCATATGAGAATGACTCTTAACGCGAGAAATAAGAATGATTATAGACCTATTGGATCGGTACGATCAATGGACATAATGAAGTCAAAATTAATTACCATGGTCAAACTTGCAGTGGCATATTTGTAAATATATTAATATGTCATGGACAAATTATAAACTACAAGGGCAGTTATGTGATTTCAAAACTAATCAATAAGTGGGCCCCACCATAAATATTGCCAACCATTCATCTCCTCTCTCCTCTCTACTCTACTCTCTCTCCTCTCTCCCGCTATCTACCTCTCTCTCTCACACTTACTCACACAACACACACAGATCTAACAGTCCGGCCACCCACCGGCAACTCTCATTCCGCCGCAGACACACCCAACACCGCAACAATCCCGCCTGTCGTGTCGCGGCCGTCGAAATTGCCGCCGTCATCCTCCGAATCCGGCAACCCGTCCAGAGCCGACGGTGAATTCCCGACGGCCACAGCAATCGCCGCCGTCAACAAGCCTCCACCTCGCCTCCGCCTTCCTCCACCAGTCCGGCGCTTCGCCTCAGCCTTCCGGTCACATCAGCCTCGCCTCCGCCATCCCCCTCCGCCTCCGCCGTCCGCCACTTTCTTCCAGTCGCAGCAACCAGACCAACGCTGCCGCCACAGCCACTCCTCTAACATCGCCGCTGACAACATCCACCATGTCGCCACCTGCAACCACCGCATCGGCCCACGACATCTCAGCCACGGCAAGCACCGGATACATTGCAGGTCGCCGGCGGCGTGAACGACCACCCGCCTGCCGCGCCGGACCTCGCCCGCCGTCACTAAGCCTGTCGCCGCCACAGTGCCGACATCCCGTCGCCGGCAGAGAGGCCTAAAATGAACAGGATTTGCATTGTAGAATTTGGGGCATATTTTTGAAAATTTGACATGTTTAAAGGACTAATTTGCAATTTTATAAATTTCAATATATTTCAATTTAGTTCAAGGGTCAAACTTATGATTTATGAAAATTTCAATACTTGCACATCAATGATATGTAAATTGCACATTAACGATAGTTAAATTGCACGTTAATAATATGAAAAGTGCACATTAGTATTATTATCTAATATTTTATTTATTTTGATTTAAAAATTAATATATTCATAAAAAATATAAAATAAATAATATTTTTTTATATAGATTGGTCGGTCTAGTTATTGCACCTACTTTTAAAAAATTAATATATTGATTGCAATTTTAGATCTTTTAGTATATTACAATTTAGTTCATGTGTCAATTGTAATTAATCAGAATAAAATTAATATAATTATTTTATTTAATATTAGGTTGAAACTAAATAATATGTTAAATAATAATATATTTATAATTCGGCGTTTTATACGGTGCATCATGTTGTGTTATACGGTGCAACGTATTACTATATAACGTGCAACGTATTAATGTTGGTACGTTAGCATGTTTGTGTTTGATTAGATAGATGATGTGTTAAGGTGCAACGTATTGCTATATAAAGTGCGACATTTCGTTACGTAAAGTGCAATGTTTAATTTATACCTTCCTATATAACTTATGTATAAATATGGGTATGATTGTACATGGAATTAACTTAAATAATTATAATAGCTTTTTATTTATTATTTTTATTATATAATTTATTTATTAATACCAAATATTTTTATATTATTATGTATATTATAAAATACATTTTATATTTTAATATTTATATTTAATAAATTATAATATTATGAGTAAAAATATCAAAATCCATAAAGTGCAATCGTGCAGATAATAATATGTTGTTATATAAAGTGCATTATATTGATAAAGTGCAACATAATGTATTTTAAAGTGCAACATGTTGTTATATAAAGTGCATTATATTGATGTGTAAAAATAAACTACTGCAAGTTTTGGTACGTTATCATGCTTGTGTTTTGTGTGGATAAATGATGTGATTAATGTTAAAGTATGTATATCAGTTTTTTAGATTTATGTTGTATGGTATTTTTTACGGGAATTATAGAGTGTATTGATAAAGTGCAACGTAGTGTTTTATAAAGTGCATCGGGATGATATATAAAGTGCACTTTTTTATATATATTATGTGTTTTTGAAAATTATATTTAGTAGATTTAATTGTAAATCGAATTGACCTTAATAATTGAAATAATTTACAATTTCCTTAATAATTGAAATAATTTACAATTTTTTATTATAAAAGTATATTTATCATTCTAATATTTTTTTTAATAAAGTGTCATTTGTTTACCAATATTGTGCATGTGCATTTTTATGTACAAATATGGTGCAATTATTAAATTTTGTACAAATTATAAATTTGACCCTATTGGCTAAATTGTAATATATTGAAATATGTAAAAGTACACTTTGGTCCCTTAAAATTATCAAATTTTCAAAAAAAACCCCACAATCCCAAATTGGATTTTATGTGATTGTCGGCCAGGGAGAGGGTTCAGTCCCGGTGGGTCCTCGCCGGTGGCGTCCGCGAGCAGAGATATCACGCCGACCATGGCGCTGTAGACGGCTAGGGGCGGTCGGTCTGGTGCTGGTCGAATGAAGTGGCCGGAGGGACGAAGAAGAGCTCTGGCGTGGCTACCGTTGAAGGCGGTGGAAGCCTGTGAGCAGCGAGGCCAGAGGCGTGGTTGCCGATGGCGGATTCATCGTGGTGGCGCAGCAGAAGTCCGCGTGAGGTTGAAGGAGCAGGTAACGACAAGCGGGTAGTCGGCGGCGGTGGAAGCGTCGAAGGGGACTCCGGCGAGCGAGGGAGGGAATCGATGGAAACGGCGGTCAATGGATGCTGGCAGGTGGGACGATACGGTCGTCTTCTCCGGCGGGTGTGCACTATGACGTAACACGCGTCACAGACCGTGGTTGCCGGAGAAACCGGAATCCGTCAGAGGGAGTTGAGGTCGGCGGCGATGTGGGCGGACTAAGGGTGAAGGTCGTGCGGCTATGTGGGCGGAGACAGGATGGAGGTCGGGTGGCGATGTGAGGCCGAGCCGGTGGAGATCGGGCCGCCGGCGTGTTGCTGTGTGTGTGAGTGTGTTTTTGCGTGTGTGTGTGTGCTGTTTGAGAGAGAGAAAAAACAGGGTGGGGTGGGGTGGCATATTAATGTGGTGTGGTTTGACACGTTAATTAATTGTGTGGGTGAGTGTGTTAGTTAGTAGGTGTATTATTGTGTAAGGGGGCCCACCTATTTATGTGTGACATGAAAAATTACTACAATACCCTTAATGAAGGTATAAATTTGACTTTTTTATTAGTCATTAGATCATCCGATCCGATGATTAAGATTTATTCTTATTTCTCGCATTAAATACCATTCTCATGTGAGCGCGACCCTATATATATATATATATATATATATATATATATATATATATAATGTCTGTAATATGATTGAAAAACTAACCTTTTGCTGATCACTAATAAATGTCCATCCAAGTCCATCTGTTATCCCCAAATCTTGAAAAAGAATATCTAGAAACCATTTCCAATTGCTCTCATTCTCAGAATCCACAACTGCCCATGCCCAGGGAAATATCTGGTTGTTCACATCCTTGCCAACAACACACAATAAAACACCTCCCAAAAAGGTCTTCAAGAAACACCCATCAAAACCAATTAGTGGCCTACAACCTTGCAAGAAACCTTGTCTGAGTGCACTAAAACCAACATAAAAACCTTTGAATACACTGCCACTCTCCAAGACAAGCTGAAACGTGCCATGTCTATCAACCCTTTGAAGCTCTGGAATGTACCTCCTTAGTTTTCCGTAGTGCTCCTCCTCTGTACCTCTAAGCAGTTCAAGAGCCCAAGTTTTTGCTTTGTACAGTTTCCACCTAGAGGGTTGCACACCATATTTTTCACTGATAGAATCCTCTAAGTCAAAAATTTTCATCTTATGCTTCTTCCTAATCATAGGTAGATACTCCCCAGCAACCCATGAAGTAGTTGCTTGTTAGTGTTCAAGTCCTTATGGAAGCTGTGGGTATTGACAAAGGTCTTGATAGCCACACTGCCTTCACCTTTTATAAGACTAGCATAAAGCCTCCATGGACAACCCACTTCACACCTAGCTTCAACCTGACTTAAACTACTTTTGAAGAAACTTATGTTGCAGCCATTATAGATTGCATAACTCTAAATTGCCTTCTTACATTGTCCAATGCTTTCAAACCTCATCCCAAGCTGAAATTGAAATGCCTGCAAATCTCCCTTACCATCATAAACAATTTTCTTTTTCTTAGGCCTTGCTTCATCATCATCATCACCAAAACCCTCACCACTAGATGAATCAGTGTTCACATTCCCTTCATAATCTTCATATTCTGACTCAATATCTCTTGCAGGTGTAGTGCTGTCATCAGCCTCATGATGTGCAGATGGTTGTGCAAAGGAAATGTTTGCATCTCCATCATCTTGTGACTTTCTGGAGTTCAAAACGTCTCTCTTGGCCTCAAGATACTCCTCATCATCTGTCCCTAAATCTTCCTCAGACAAACCATTATCACTTGAAGATTCTCCAGATGGTTCATAGTCCTCATCCTCACTTTCATCTAAAGCAAACTCAACCAGCTTGTCACTAGTATCAACCAGCTTGTCACTAGTATCCTTTGCTTTATCTATCTCAGCAACTTCAGATACCCTATTCCTAGATTCATTTTCTTGTTGACACACAGCAACCCCACACGGTTTCTTTAAATGTTCAGTTTGCACATATATTTCAACATGTCTTTTATTTCCCTGCATTTGACCCAAACAGTCCATAACACCAGCATCATCTATTATATCTTTAAATTCACGTGTTGTCCGATGCTTATAACATATTCTACCCCAGTTTTCATATCCCAACTTCTTTATTTCATCTTCAATGTCAAAATAACCTAGCCTATCTGCATCCAACCCAGTAACCGTGGTAACACAATCACCATAATACGCCTCATACCCATCGACAACCACAAATCTACCCTTGTGATTGATAAATAATAGAAAGAAATCGCTGTTAATTGGAAAAATCAGAAAAGATTAACAAATCGAACCCTAAAAATATAAAATCAAATTAAACATTTCAAGAGAGAAAGGGCAGTTACCTTGTGATATGGCCACATAAGGATAACCCGGTCCAGAAGCTTATTACTCAACCGGCGAACCACTCGAATTACTCGCACGTCGACATGACTCCGTCGACATGCCCAAATCGACTTCCCAAAGGTCGATTCTACTAAGAGCAATCAAGAAGAAGCCGAGATTAATCTAGTCGACTCTTGCAAGTCGACCTTAATCTACCGACTTTCACTAATCGACATCAATGAAAGAGGAACAGCAAAGCTCCCGGTCATCCAGATACTCTAAGTCGACCCCCAGAAGTCGACTGAACTAAGACGACTCTCTGAAGACGACTCCGCCTCAAAGAACTAGTCAAGCGTAGCCTCCGAATCCGCACATATCCACGAGTCGACTTCCTAGATCTCGAAGTCGACTTCACATACCTTAAACAACAAAGATGTGATGACGATTCATCACACTTGCAACATATCCAAAGTCTTCTACATTTGGGAAAGATAAAAAGGAATCTCGCGATGACTCAGCAACAAAGGGGAGACGAATCGACAGGGGCATTTTGGACCTTCTAGGTCCACCGACTTGGGCATTTTGGGCACTTCACGTAAGTATTCACTCCTATATAAAGGAGATGAGGTAACCCTAAAACCCTAACTCTCATTCATTCCCACTCTCCCCCGTAGCTGCTGCGCAGCCTCTCTTCATCACTCTCATACTGACTTGAGCGTCGGAGGCTCTACGCCGAAAACACCTCCGGCGTTGAGTTTTTGCAGGGATTCTTGCGATCTAGCAACGGTTTCAAGGCGGTTCAAGCAGATCTGAACTCACAACCACCGGTTTACTGCGGATCTAGAAGTAGACCTATCATTTGGCGCCGTCTGTGTGGAGTTCTTAAAGGAAGGAAGAGCTTCACACCCAGTTCCGATCTGTTTGCCAATGGCGGAGAAGGAGAGCTTGCAGAGGAACCTGAGCGAGGAGTTCAGAGGGACGTGGATGGACAAGAGGCCACCACCACTTCCCACCACCAAACACTCCGTAGTTCAGATGACGGGAATGCCGCCGTTCTGAGGACTTCCACCACCCGGGCTGACGTTGGGCGGAGAAACGCCTGTGACTCCAACCGGCGTAAAGTTACAAGTGTTGACTCAGGCAGGGACAAGTCAAAACCCTAACCCAGATGGAGAGAAGGATCCAACGGAGGCCTCTCGACGCGAGGGAAAACAGATACAGGAGGTTTCGGAACAGACACAACCCCGCGTTGAGGAACAGACTCTGACAATGACGAGGAGTGAAATGCAGAAGATGATTGCTGAAGCCGTGGCGGCCCAGATGAAGCAGATAGCACCGGTAGAACAGCAGCCCCGAGTCGAGTGTCCACCTCGAGTCGAGCATCAGCCTCGCGTCGAGTACCCCCCTCGAGTCGAGCATCAGCCTCGCGTCGAGTACCCCCCTCGAGTCGAGCAGCAGCCACGCGGCGAGCAACAAGCCCAGTCGAATGTGCAACAGAACAGAAGGGCAGATGAAGAAGAATCGTCCATTCGAACCGTTAATCCACAGGCAAGGGACGAAACGTTGGAGCAACTACTGGCACAGGTTCGCGACTTGCAAGCTCGAGTCGACGGGAGGAAGAGCAGAGGAGCCAAAGAACACCCATTCTCGCAGCAGATCCTAAGAGCCGACTTACCCAAAGGCTTCAGGGAGCTGAACATATGGTATGACGGTACCATAGATCCGTCTCGACATTTGAGGAGTTTTGAAAATATGGCCGTGCTTCATCGTTACAGCGACCCAGTACAATGCCGCGCCTTCCTGACGACTTTGACAGGGTCGGCCCAAGATTGGTTTCATCAACTTCCAGCGGGGTCGATTCGGGACTTTGATGGATTCAGCTCGAGTTTCCTTAACCAATTTGCAAGTGTGAGGGTGCAAGAGAAATCTTACCTCTCGTTGATTAGCATGCAACAGAAGAAAGGCGAGTCGTTGCGAGAATATGTGGCGAGGTTTACCAAGGCGTGCGTCGAATGCCCCACAGCGACAGAGGAAATCAAATCGGGAGGACTGACGAGAGGACTGCTACCAGGATTGTGCAAAAACTCCTTGGCCAAACGACCTGGTAGGAGTTTCGACGATGTGCTGGGAAGATGTGCCAAATACATGAACGTTGAAGAGGCCGAGGCCGACTACTTGCAGAGCATGAAGATGGCTCAAACTGACAGTCGAGACGACAAGAAGGAAAAGAAGGGTCGGTCGACAGGAGATAGAAGGGGATCCCCGAGGTCTGAAAGGGGCGAAGGCAGGTCTAGGGGATGGAGACCAACTCAATACACACCTTTGTCGGCTCCCCATGCTAGGATTCTGGAGGTTATGGAGAGGGAAATCCGCGACGATGTGGTTAGATGGCCGCGGACGAGGAAAGATGGACCTTTGAAGCCCAAAAGCAACCTTTACTGTCGATTCCACAAAGACTATGGGCACAACACTGATGACTGTCGACACTTGAAAGACGAAATCGAGAGGCTGATAAAGGCGGGTCACTTGAAGGAGTTTATATACAAAGACCGAGAGAGGACGAGCAGGAGGCGAGAACGAAGTAAGAGTCCTCGCAAGAGGGCGAGATCGCCGGAAAAGGAGGAACTCCCACCAAAAAGAGGAGTCATTAACATGATTTTCGGAGGGTCGACTGATGGAGACTCCAATCGGGCAAGAAAGGCCTATGCTCGAGGCCGATATGCGAAAGTCGAGGTGCAGCAGGTCGAAGAAAGTGGACCAGTAATGAACTTCGGACCGGCAGATGTGGGTGAAGTCGAAAGGCCGCATAACGATGCCCTGATGATAACAGCGCAGATATCGGGGTACGAAGTGCAGAGGGTATTTGTCGACACCGGAAGTTCCGTGAACGTAATTTTCTACGACTGCCTCAGAAGGATGGAGCTTGACATTGAACTGACGCCCCTACATACGTCACTCTTCAGATTCAATGGCTCAGAACTCGCTCCCCTAGGAGAAACCATGCTCGCTATCGTCCTAGGGGAAGGTGACTTGAGGAAAGTCAAAATGGTGAGATTTGTTGTGGTTGATGTCGAGTCGGCTTATAACGTGATTTTGGGGAGACCCGCGCTCAACGCGTTTCAAGCAGTTGTGTCAACCTATCACATGAAGCTGAAGTTTCCAGTAGGAGATCGAGTGGGAGAGGCTCGAGGAGATCAAAAGTTATCGAGAACATGCTACCAAATCGCAGTCAAAACCAATCAGCGTACCGAAATCAAAGAAGGCAAAAAACCAATGACGAGCGAGAAAAGGCCGAGGGGGAGTGACCTCGAGCCTCACGAAGAATTGATGGAGATTCAAATTGGGGAGTCGAGAGAGCAAACCACCAAAGTCGGGAGAGAATTAGAGGATGAATTACGAGAACAGTTGGTGGGATTGTTGAAAGAATTCAGGGATATATTCGCCTTTTCACCTGAAGAACTAACTGGAATCGACCCAGAAGTGATGGAGCACAAACTCAACGTCGACCCCCTCAGAAAACCTGTGAAGCAGCGACTCAGGCACCATGGCGCTGAAATCGACAAAGCAATCAAAGTCGAGGTGGACAAGTTGCTGAAAGCCAAACATATCAAGGAGATCCACTTCCCCGAATGGATATCTAATACAGTTATGGTGAGGAAGGCATTGAACAAATGGCGTATGTGCATCGACTTCCGCGACTTGAACTTGGCGTGCCCTAAAGATCATTACCCCTTGCCGAGGATCGATCAGCTAGTCGACTCCACCGCTGGCTGCGAGTTGTTGAGCATGATGGACGCGTCGCAAGGATACCATCAGATTCCTCTGGCACCGGAGGATCAGAGTAAAGTGAGTTTCGTGACGAGCAAGGGGACATATTGCTATGTCGTCATGCCCTTTGGCCTCAAAAACGCAGGAGCAACCTACCAACGATTGATGGATCGAATGTTCAAACCTCAAATCGGCCGCAATGTGGAAGTGTACGTTGACGATATCCTGGTGAAGAGTATATCCTCGACTTCACACCCAGACGACTTAAGGGAAACTTTCAACACCCTTAGGGCGTTTGGGATGAAGTTGAACCCGAGCAAGTGTGCCTTTGGGGTAAAGGCGGGACGATTTCTCGGCTACGTGGTCACGGAGCGAGGCATTGAGGTGAACCAAGAGAAGGTGAAGGCCATACTCGACATGGCTCCACCGCGAAACGTTAGAGAAGTCCAAGTGTTAACAGGAAGGATTGCGGGCCTGAGCAGGTTCATTGCTCGAGCGGCAGAAAAGAGTTTCCCTTTCTTCAAGCTACTAAAGAAGACGGCGACCTTTAAGTGGAGCGATGAGGCACAGAAGGCCTTTGAGAAGTTGAAAGAATTCCTGAGTGAGCTACCCCTATTAACCAAACCAGAGCCTGGCGACGAGTTGATTCTATACATTTCGGTGGGGGAATTCGCTCTAAGTTCAGTATTGATACGATAAGATGGAAGTTCCCAGCAACCGATTTATTATACGAGTCGAGTGCTCCAGGGTGCGGAGGCACGATACCCTGAAGTCGAGAAAGCTGCCTTGACGCTGGTGATAACGGCTAGGAAATTGAGACCTTACTTTCTGAACCATGCGATAATAGTGCGAACAAATTTTCAGTTAGGAGAAACACTGGGTCGACCTACTGTCTCAGGTCGACTCGTGAAGTGGGCAGTTGAGCTAAGCGAATATTCTATCAAGTACGAGCCGAGGCGAGCTATTAAAGCCCAGGCTCTAGCTGATTTCATTCAAGAAGGAACCAAAAGAGAAGAAAGGAGATGGACGATGCATGTCGATGGATCCTCGGCCGCAAAAGGATCTGGTTTGGGAGTCGTTCTAGTATCTCCCGAAGGCGAGCAACTTGACT